TCATTGAGAGACTCCAAATTCGATACGACGTGAGTAGCGGTGTAGTTTATTTCGAGAAAGGATAAGGGGTCATTCCATTGTAAAGAGGAAAACGACATAAATTTAAATATGCCCTAATTATCTCAATTTCAGTAGTAACCTCTTTTTAAATGACATTTCATTGACCTGTGGGAAAATACTAATGGATAATTACTTCACACCAGTCACAAGGAGATGTCCCACCACGACAGCCGGTTCTACGTACCGGAATGACTCGGGTTTTACCCGACCAAGGACTGTTGTTTCGGCGATCTAACCCCGTTTAGGTCGGCGAAATCCCTCAAAAGTTGTACGTCCATAGGGCTACTTCTCCTTCGCATACTTCTGCTCAGGGCTGGCATTGAGTCAAACCCTGGACCAGAAACATATACCTGCTGCGTGTGCCAGAGACGATTACACCACAACTCCATCTCCGTCAGATGCAACACGTGCAATGGGTGGAGTCATCTCCTAGTGTGCTCAGGCCTCACGACTCAAAGGCAATGGACCACTGCGAACGTGGCCCCTTGCTGCGTCAATCGAGCTGCCTCCACGGCACAACAGAGTCCGCCTGAGTAACTCAACACAAACACAACCGCACCACAACACAATACAATAGACAATAACACAGACACAACATACCACACTACAGACACAACTGCACCACCACCCACACGCCACCGCCAACAACTCCTAGTTCCTCCCGACAATCTGCACGGTGTGTCAGTCCAGGATATTCCGTAATGTAACATCAGTCAAGAGCAACACCTGCCTTGGCCGGTGTCACTTTAGAGCATGCTCAAGACTGCGCACCGCACGAGATTTGACGAGGGACTATGTGGGCCCATGCTGTGCTGCTCGGTCGCAACCCCCAACTGCGACGCCGCCCACTAACACCACAGGGCAACGGCCTCAGCAGCAGCAAGCACAGCATGTGGCAGCACGGCAACATACATCACTAACACCCCACATTCCAATAAGTCTCCCTAGGCACACGAAGATTTTACAATTCAACTGTAACGAACCTCAGAGCAAGATCGAGGAGATAACAGCCTTCATGGGTCGGCGCGGAATATTAATAGCTGCGGTCCAAGAGACGAAGCTGCACGGAAATTCAACACTGTTGAATTGCGCCGGATACAACGTGCAGCGTCGAGATCGCGAGCGAGATAATGGTGGAGGCTTAGCGTTCATCACGCACCACACCGTGCAGTATCGTCTCATTGAAGCAGACATCGAGCGCAGGGATACCATCCTAGAATGTTAGGGTATTGCTATCCGGTTAGGCGATGTTGAGCTCGAAATATTTAACGTATACATACCCCCTGTCA